CTCACTTCAAGTACACGTCAAGCCTTTCTCTGGAATCCCTGGCCTCTCCCGCTTCTGACACCAGGTCCGGCTCTAGCTCCAGCCACCCCAGGTCGTCCTGGGGCCTCTGCATATGCTGGCCGCTATGTGCATCACATTCAGGCACAGTGGTGGGCAGGAGAGCAGCCCCCAAAGGAATCCCCGTCCTAATCCCTGGAACCTGGGGATGTTCCCTCATGCGGTGATAAAGGTGAATCCTGAGGACTACTCAGGTGGACCCTAAGTGCCACCACCTGCAACGGCAGATAAGAGGTGCAGAGGCCCTGGAGCAGGATGCTGCACACCCACATGGGAGGAGGAGGTGCCAGGGAACAAGGTGTGCAAGGCCCGGGGCTCTGGGCACCTGAATGGGTCACGAGGGACTCTCCTGGAGCAAACACTCTGGCCTCAGCCCGTGGCTCCCATCCTCCAGAGCTGTGCGAGAGTGAGTAGTATTTTCCAGCCCCAGGTGTATGGTCAGGGTCACAGCGGCCACGGGACACACACAGGCGTCCCGTGTGTGTCCTCAGCTCTGACCCCGAGGGAAATGTCATTTCCTCAGGAAAACGTCACCTGGTTTCTAGGACCGCAAAGTTCCCTCTGTCAGGGGCTCTCGGGGCACCCCATGTCCTCTCTTCATAGAAATCACCCCGCTGTCTCCCTGCAGTTACCTCGTGGTTATTTGACTTGCAGTCCTCACTAGGCTGCACATTCCATGAGGGCAGGAACTGTGGGCTGGGCTTACACCACTGCACGATCAGCAGGACTCGGCCGAGCCCCCCACAGCAGGCACTCAAGAAATGGTTGTCTCTGAATGACACAAGCACAGTAGTCCCCAGCCAGCCAGCCAGCCAGCCAGCCAGCCGTCCGTCCGTCCAGGTCAAGGGCTGATCCTGCAGGATTCCCTAACAGGCCTCCATGGGACTCAGCCAAGAGTAAAAGCACGAAGTGGGAGTGTGGACTTGAGACTGGGAGCCACACGAGAGTCTGTGCACCAAAGTTTACCACCCACTGGGAAATTTTCACTTGAGTACTTCGGATGAAATTTAAAAGCACATTTTGTTGAATAAACACAGGCTTGATTAAACCATTCCAACCTATACTTCATTTCTTTGGCAGATTCTTTTCCTCCCAAAATAATTGGTTGATGTATTCAAAACTGAACATGGGCTCTAGTTAGAGGGCCACTTTGCATTGTGTAAAAGCCGAGATGGGGAGAGAAACAGGCAATGGGAAGAATTACTGTCTTTGTGCTTAGGGAGGACAGAGGACAGAAACCCATCAAGGGTCCAAAGAGCCCACAACTGCCTTCTTGAAGGGCCAGTGCAGAATTCTGAGGGTTTCACTCTTCCACCTGTCTCTAATTGGGTCTCTAATTGTGATCTAAGACTTAAGATGCTGTAAGGCTTTCAGACTTTCCCTTTGTCTTAGAGAATCCCAGGCACAGGAAGGAAAATGTGGGTGGGGCATCAGGACCCCAGAGGCACAAAGCCTCATAGATTATTTCTCCAACTGAATCTCCCCCGCAGCCCACCCTGAGGTGGGGA